AACCTAGGTATGTAAGTATATCAAGTGATAGGCATGCAACAATGACACTAACCACAAAGATGCGACAACATGCAATGCGGTAAGCCTACAACAATACACGAGTGCACGATCCATGGACTTACACTAAGGATGGATAGGCCTCAGTCGTACCAAAACAGTGGCCAAAGTGCCAAGAAATGATGGACAAAACAACACCCAAACATGCACATGTTAAGGTCCAACACTTAGGCATAAAAAGAGTCGACTCTTAAACACATTAAGAATAGACAAATATGGACATATGGCAAGCATGATAAGCTCTGAAAATGTGCAAGGGATGATGCCAAATCAACCATGCCATGCAAGTAGGGCATGCAATAAAGCCCAAAACTTGAGACTAACAAAGGGGTTCAAACCATGGCCATACCAACCAAGCCCCAAAGAGCCAAGATGACTTAAAACAGTCTTAGGGCAAACCAAAATAAGGCTAGAGCATGCATGGAACAAGGCTAAAACATGCTAAGAAACGAGCGCAAAATAGGGGGGCATTCAAGGCCATAAAGAGAGCATTCCACTACAACTACTTCAACCAAACATGGCATGGGTTATGCAATGAAAAACAGATAAGCCCGAATACCCACTTAGATGACATCTAAATGACCTAAGCCTAGAGGTATGCACAATGGCCCAAACATGGAGCATAAGACAACAACTCTTCAAAGCATTGAGAGAATGGCAAATGCAAGCACATAAGCATGGAACATGGACTGAAATAGCATGATAAGTGATTCCAAACCACTGAAATAGCCCAAGTAAAGTATGCTCATGACTCACTCACCCAAAGCTAACAAGCTAAAATGCATGGTGGCTATACAAAACATGGCAAACATGACCAAATCAACACCAAAAAAAGCTTAAACATGTCACAACATGGATAAAAGCTTCATGAAGTCAAGCTAAAACATGCAAGCATGATGGTCTAAATGCATGATACATGTTTAAGCAAATGAGAGGATTGCAAGGCAAGTGCATGATGCATGCAATAAGCCAAAGAACCAACATGAAATAGAGGTATAACATGATAAACTAACACCAGATACTCAGTGAAATGAAGCTAAAACACATTAAGCCAACATGCTACCTTTACAAGTCAACAATGCAAACAAATGGGACATAAGGGGAGAGGGGTGTCCCTCCCCTATACAAGACCTCAAAACCACTTCTCTACTACTGAAAATCCTCTGGATTTCAGTGGTGAGAAGGCCAAAACAAAAGGGTTACAAAGCCCAAAGAGGAAGGCACAAAAAGAGGCCAAACAAGGCCTAAGAGGGGGTGGATGTCCCCCAACACAAAAGTGACCTTAACGAAACATCTCAAGCATGAAAATACAAAACTTTTATTAGTTATACAGTAAGCTTAAAACATTATGCAAGATAGGCTAAAAGCTTAAGGCAAAATGGGGAATAAAAGAGGTAGTTCTCACCCTTGAAGAACACTTCAAGAACACCAACTCCAGCACCTCCTTTTGATCAAAACCAACTCAAAAACTTTGAAATCAACCCCTCAACACCTCAGTAACCAAAGTATAGTGTTACATTAGGTGCCTTAGTACAAAAATAAGAACAAAAACACACTTTTGAACACTATTACACACACAACTAGAGAGGGGGGGGAAATATAGAGAGAGAGGTATATCTAACTTCTATATCAGATGAATCAACCCCTGGAAAGGGAGGGGAGGCCCTCATTTTATAGAAAAACAACTTTACAAAGCTTCCAAGGGAAGCTAAATTAGGCTCAAATCCCTCCATACACGTGTATGAAGGGCAGAGTCTGTGCTCACCACCTGGCACAGTTGGCATGCACAATGCCTTAAAAAGGAAAAGAAAAGGTCTCGGCCAGAAAATGTGGTTGACCGACCAAATAAATGGCCGACCGACCAACTAAAGTGCCGATCGGCCAACACACTTAGCCGATGGAAAGAGAAAGGGGCCGATGGCCTCAGGCCCTGGCAGGTGGGTTGAGAAAATGGTCAACAAGCCACATTCTTCCCTTAGAAGCAAAAACACAAGTGTTTGGTCCATGACCAAGCTCAAAACAGATAAGTTGAGAGATCTTGAGGCAAGGCACGTAGCCGAGACCTCCGAGAACTCAAAACAAACACGAGCATGGATGATCATCGAGTGTTCAAACGATGACGTCCAAGTCTTAAGGATCTTGAAAAATGGAGTGTCTACAGTTGCCCTTCTTGGACAGAACTCGAAAGTCATAACAATGACGGGAGTGAACGTCAAAGTCCAAAGATGACCCATTTTTGGCGAGGCCGAAAACTTAGACAAGCATGCAAGATAGCAAGATATGTGCCCGAAGGTAGGGGCAAGATGCAAGAACAATGCACAAAGCCGAGCATAACTTATGATCATGCAAAGAAAGTTGTAACGAAGCATAACATGCAACCGTTTTAAGCAAGCCAAAAACCAAACTACATTACAATGCAGAAAGGATGTAAGAGAATTATGTAATTCTCGCTGTGTCTCACGCGGAGAATACAATACCTGTCCGGTTCGTCAGGTCGCGCCAGCTTCAAATGAACCGTACATACAATATTGTGCCTGAAAAAGAAGAGAAACTTAATAGGTATAACATCGTTAGAAACATTCATAGCAATGCAAGTGAAAAGTGCGTGACAACGCAAGTGAGGGGGGGTACAAGACAATGCAACCTAAGCGTGACGCATAACAATGCGATTTGAAACAAGCATAACAATGCAAGGAGGGCACACGCGACAACGTGAGCCGAGTGGTGCATAATAATGCAAACCAAGTAGTGTATAAACACATGTAAGTAAAGCATACGTGAAAACGTGTGCAATATGTGTAACAAGAGAGGCATAAACACATGTGAGTAAAGCATACGCGAAAACGTGTGCAATGTGTGTAACAATGCAAAAAGGTGCATAAAGGATGCATAAACACATGTAAGTAAAGCATACGCGAAAATGTATGCAATGTGTGTAACGATGCAAAAAGGTGCATAAACACATGTAAGTAAAGCATGCGCAAAACGCATGCAATGTGTGTAACAACGCAAGAAGAGTGCATAAACACATGTAAGTAAAGCATGCGCGAAACGCATGCAATGTGTGTAACAATGCAAGAAGGGGCGCATAAACACATGTAAGTAAAGCATACGCGAAAACGCATGCAATGTGTGTAACAATACAAGAAGGGGAGAAAGGGGTGCATAAACACATGTAAGTAAAGCATACGTGAAAACGCATGCAATGTGTGTAGCAATGCAAGAAGAGTGCATAAACACATGTAAGTAAAGCATACGTGAAAACGTATGCAATGTGTGTAACAATGCAAGAAGGGGAGAAAGGGGTGCATAAACACATGTAAGTAAAACATACGCGAAAACGCATGCAATGTGTGTAACAATGCAAGAAGGGGAGAAAGGGGTGCATAAACACATGTAAGTAAAGCATATGCGAAAACGCATGCAATGTGTGTAACAATACAAGAAGGGGAGAAAGGGGTGCATAAACACATGTAAGTAAAGCATACGCGAAAACGCATGCAATGTGTGTAACAATGCAAGAAAGGGAGAAATGGGTGCATAAACAAATATAAGTAAAACATACGAGAAAACGCATGCAATGTCTGTAACAATGAGAAAGGGGAGAAGGGGTGCATAAACACATGTAAGTAAAGCATACGCGAAAACGCATACAATGTGTGCTAACAATGCGAAAGAGAAAAAGGGGCGCATATTCAACTGAAGCATGGTAAAGGCATGTTATTCATGATGTTGAGATGCAACTTCAAAACAAGACGAGACATTGTTCAATGCAAGACACGTGACGAGCGTGCTTTATTAAAGTCAAAACGAAGCAACATAATACAACAAAATTGAAGCGATTTGTGGAATTCGCAAGATACAAAAAGAAGGACATGAGTAAGGATACTCCCCGCACGCACCGAGCATCGCTTATAGAAGACACAGCTCGAGGTCAACACGAAGGTCTATTAAGGTTCAAAAGTGCACTTTCTTGCACTATCTTGAGTAATAAAGGTGCCAAACCGCATAATTGACCCGAACAAGGGCGCGGGAGGTGCATCGACCACAAGGGGAGACCACCGGTATTAATCCAGACATTCTACTATTTTTTTCCCCTTTTCGCTTTACTTTTCTTTTTGCTGGTAGTTTAAGCACATTGTACTGCCTCAGGCAGGTTTTACTTTCTCAAAACTATGTACTTTTTGCAAAAGACATGATGGAAATGAAACAGCTATTTTGTTCAAAAAAAGTGTTACATTTTATGCATCGCATTACGTAACAATGTAAATGAGATTTGAACCCTTGTTTGAAAAGTAAGCACTTGCCTCGTAATAATCAGGTAGTGAACCGAGTAAGGACAAAAACAACTCGATAATCAAAACAAAGAACTTGATAAGCTAACCAACTGTAAATACAACTCGATAAGCAAAGCAAAGACTTAAAGAATGTTAGAGGTCTTGCTCCTGGTGTGCTCAAAAGTTGATTTCAAACACTTCGAAATATGGGAACTTTCGGAAAAAATTCGATTTTTCACCACCCGAGCTCTGATACCAATTGTTGTGGATCAAGGGCACACTAGGGAACACACACAAGCAATAACACAAGAGATTTAACATAGTTTAGTAAGTCGCCTACGTCCACGGGTAGCAGATTCACTCTATGGAGAAATGGAACTACAAACTCTCTGTATTCTCTCTTCCTCACAACTCACCACTCACCACATCTATATTTTGCTCTCACCCTCTCTATATATACACACAAATGAGAGAGAGCTGGCTGGTGCCCAGCTAGTCAGTCAAAGATGGATTGTCTTCCATTGCGGCTTGTCGGTTGGCAGCCGCAATCAAGGAACGTTGGTGTGATGCTTTCATACTGATGCTTTCATACTGATAAGAATCACCCCTTTCACATGGGGTGATATCAACAGCACCAAACAAATACATTCTTTGCTCTAAGCTAAGTTAGGGGAAAAAACACTTGTATGGAATATGCATCTGTCTTTTAGTTGCAGTTCTTACCGGGTCGAATTCAAGGCAAGGCACCCATCCCTTTTTGAGCATGTACTCGATCTCCTTCGCGATCGATTCATCGGAGAGAGGCTGGAGATACGACAATGTCTCAAACTTCTTGTTATCAATAGGATTCCATGTCTGTCAATTTAAGATACATGAATATCCACAATCAAACACAAAAGAGTAAACTTTGATGAGAATTAACACAAACTGAAGCTTCAATAACAGGATTTTGAACTTTTGATACCATTATTCACTAGTATACTGCTCGATACTGTCAAATATGATTGCATCTCCTGATACTGTTATTTAAAACATGAATCAATAGTATCCAAATCATTAGTGAATCACATTAGTACCTCCATACAGTGGGTTTTTGAGCCATTAGCGACAGTTTTTCTGGTCCATGCAACTGAATCTTTGACTGGGAAAAGCTTTGATGAGTTGGGTTTCAAGCCAACATAGCTTGATCCACCAACTGGAGCTGAGATGATTCCTGCAGACATGCTCTCTTCAAGTGGGTTTTGAAAGCAAAAACTTGGAGAGAGAGAGAACGGAGGAGAGAAGAGCACTAGAAAATCAGAATATAATTGATTAATAGTAGTACAGTTCATGATGACCGTGGAGATAGAAAAAGACAAAAGAGACCGTGTGAGCGATTCTGGGATGAGGTATGATTTGTTAGGGAGTTGAGTGGGAAGGCGATGAGTACAAGGCAGTATGCATCTCAAAGGTTGATTTTATGTGGGTCGGGCAGTCGCACTGGCGGAGCTAGTGTATACTGAGTTGTGTCACTCAATTTTGAATTTTTTTAAAATAAATATAAAATTTATTGAAAATATTTGAATTTTACAAATTGAACTCAGAGGAAAAAAAAGGAAGAATTGCTATTTTTTTTAAACTTTATTACAAATACATTCTAAAAATTTGTTTTTAGTGTTTAAAATTATACATATATGATTCTTAATTCACATTAGACTACAATTTTTGGAGAAAATTTATAAATAATTACAGTGAAAATAATAACTATAATTGTCATGATCATCAAAATTGAACTCAGAGCAAAAAAAAGAAGAAATGTAAATGTTATTTTTTTTAAACTTTATTACAAATACATTCTAAAAATTTGTTTTTAGTGTTTAAAATTATACATATATGATTCTTAATTCACATTAGACTACAATTTTTGGAGAAAATTTATAAATAATTGCAGTGAAAATAATAACTATAATTGTCATGATCATCAATTCTACCAATCACAACTACAATTGTGAAAAGATTTTTTGCTTAATGCAAAGTGATAATTTTTTAATTTATTCAAAGGGATTATTGAATCAATGATTATTTGGCCATATATATTGAGAAAAAAAATATATGATAGCATAAGTAATAAGGTTATTATCTAACAATTTTAAAAAATAAAAATTTGTGAACAATTATGTTAATGTAGATCTTTGCTTGATTTGCTTGAAGTATTAATTTCTCAACTTTTGTTTTATATGTAATTTATTAAATTTGAATCATTTTGTCGATATGTTTGAAAATATATAAAGTTATAGAATAAAATTTGGTTTTGATATAGGTTGTGCAGAAGATACATTGACATAACAATACAGATGATAGTTGTTAATGACCCCACTGACCTAAAATCCTAACTATTCCACTGGGTAGTGGTCATTTGTAAAAATGGGTTTTGAGAATTTTAATGAGATCGATTGATTTTCTTGAAAATTATTCAGTGTGTTTGATTTGAGTTTTTTGGATTAAGTTTTTAGAAAACTGAGTTTTTTGGTTTTAGTAATTTTTTTTAGTAAATATTTTTAAAATTTTAAACATTTTTTTTTTACTTTTTTCAGATGCACCTTACTTAGATGTATCTAAAAAATAAAAAGTGAAAAAAATTGTGAAAAAATATTTTAAAAAATTAACAAATACATAAAAATACAAAAAATGTATTGAATTCTCGTTTTTTTTTTTTTTGTATTTTTGGTATTTAGTGAATTTTTAAAAGGTTTTTTTCACAAAATTTTTACTTTGTAGGTATATTTATGTTAGGTATGTCTAAAAATTTAAAAAATTGCTTAAAATATTAAAAAAATTCAGTAAAAACAAAAGAACACGAAAAACAAGAAAGTAGAATTTTCTGAAAAATGTTTTTGGAAAACTGTAACCAACCAAAGTGATTATTTTTTTCCCCCTAAAATCAGACCATTTCTTGGATCCAAAAGGAAAATTTTTCAGTGCTTATAGCTTGACTTACATGATTTCAAAACAAAGAGTGGAACAAGCATGCTAATCTAACTCTCATATTGGTCAAAATCTTTTTAGCAAAAAACTCAAAAAAAAAAAAAAAAAATCAAAACGATGAACTAGGGGCATAGTCGAGTTAGGTTTTCTGTCTTTTCACCGTATTCTCGAAAGTCTCCATTGTCAACTCACTCGCCGGAAAGTGCGTAATAGTTATCTCCGGCAATGTATCGCGCCCGTGATATTCTAAACCGCGCCTGCATTCATTGCACCCGTGATATTCTAAATCGAGCTTGCGATCATCGCACCTGTGGTGTTTCTAACTACGCCTACGTTGAAGTTTTGTATCCTTTCTATTCCGACAAGTGTCAATAGGTGTGTTTGTATTGTTTTTGCTTTGTTTTTCTTTCATTGAGTCATTTTTTATTTTTGCCACTTGTTTAGCCGACTGACCAATTTTTCAACCAGTTCATCAGTTTGTTCAGCTGGGCGGTTCATGAATCAGCTGGCTCGCCAATTTTTCAACTGGTTAGACAAACAAGTCAGTCGGCCAGTCAATCATTTAGTCGGCTGACCAATTTTTGGAATCCAGAATGGAAAAAATTACAGAATTTGTGTGGGCTCAAATGTTTGCGCTTTAAAGTTGTGTTTTGAGTGTTTTTCATTTCAGCAAGTGTAAATAGTTGTGTTTGGATTGTTTTTACTTTGTTTTTCTTTCATCGAGTCTTTCTTTGATTTCTGGTCAATTGAGGGTTCAATGTCCAATTCAGAGTTTATTAAAATTTGACCATACTCAGATTCAAGTTCAAGAAAAATATTTTCATGCTCAAATGCTATGCTATTCACGCCAGGGTGTGCAAAAAATAGAAACTCATTTTATTTAAAATTAAGGGTGAACCTTGATCAACATTACAAAGGGAGAAAAATGAGAAAATTTCAAACAACAAAAGGGAAAATTATGAAGCATTGATGCTCCTTCCTATGCAAAAAAAAAAAACAAAAAAAACAAAAAAAAAAAAAGAAAAAGAGAAAAAAAAATGAAAATACAAAAAAAGAGAGGGACTTTTTCTCAAATTTCGGTAGCAGCCTGGCGGCGGAGGTTACAAATCGATCTCATTAGCAGACAACCTCTGCTCTCGACTCTATTGTTAGCTGCCTCATTTCATTTTCATTTTCGGGAAGCCTTTGAAGACTTCACCTGGGCATTGGCAGAGCATTAGAAAAAAATTACTCCCCGCCGGCCGTCAAATAAGAAATACGAAGGAACTCCAAATCAGGCCACGGAGGTGGCCTGTTGTTTCAGCTCTTTATTTTGTTTTTTCAGTGTGCTAATCTCTTCTCGAGCATCCTTGTACATATGTTGGAATAGAGAGAGTTGTGTGTTTAACCAATGTACCTCGCTTGTCCTGTTTTGCAGTCAGTGGGACAAATTGGAGACCGCAGTCACCGTCTCTACACAAGACTTCAATGTGAAGTGGTTGGCATCGATATCAGACTGCGCTGCCATCAGTTGCTCGACTGACAGCGTAGGAAAACTAAGAACAGGGGCAGGGGCACTCTGTCGAGGCTTAGAGGTGCTGGCCTTAGCATTCTCGATTGAGAAATTGTTAAGGTTAGGGAAGAGAGTGAGAGGACGGCAAGAAGAAGTCAAGTTAGAGGAGTGTAATGCCTCCAAAGAGAAAATTGGCAGAGTAATGGTAAAGAGAGTTTGCAACTTCTTGTCACGACCCAAACCTGCCCCTATAGGTTTAGCATCGTAATCGGCCAGTAATTTGTTATTAAGAAAATAATTAACACTTGAACATAGCTTTACAACATTGTTACTCATAATGGGCTCCTTGAAACACATGCTAAAAATGCACTAAAGATGTAGCGTCTAACCTAAACAAACAAATTCAAGCACAACAACTCAATACACAATTCATTCATTCAATCGGTTCTATTCAGTTATTGTTTACTTAATCGGTTTCCAGTTGTTGTTCACTCATTCGGCTCGTTCTTTTGTTCTATATTTCATTCGTATTCATAAGACGCTAATGCACAAGAAAAACACTTTAACACCATGCAAATGGAGGCCCGGAAGGTAGAAAAGTGGAGTGAAAACAAAACCAGGACAGCCCTTAAAACCGCAAGTGCGGGGGCACTGGCCGTACATACAAAACCATCACCGCACGTGCGCCCCCACGTGTAATTATTTCAGTACATTTAGCTTGAGGTGCCTTGTTTTCTGTACGTGCGAGGCCCCAAGCCGCTCGTGTGGAACTGGGTAAAATCCAGTCCACAATTCTGCTCAAATTTTGAAGCTCATATTTTGCAATTGCAACTTCATTTTAATGCAATTCAAGCCCCAAAAACTTTCAAGAACATATTACATTAAACATATCAAGCTTTAAACAAAATTCATGGCTTCAACTTGAGGCTCAAATCCATGTAAAAAGTCCAAACTCTTCAAATTCATTTCAAAATCAAAACTATACAAGTGAGCTCTAATCTTGAATTTCATGGAGTTTCCTCCTTAACTTTCAAAACTTATGCAAGAAACTAAATGTATGAAGAATGTATTTATGGAATTATGCCATGCATGTTGCCAAATTAAGAGAATTCCTTCAATTCTTCACCTTTATGATCAAATAAGTTCATATAGTTTGTTTCAACTTCTAAATCTTCCTACAAAACCTCTTTAACAATTTATTCTATTTCAACTAAAGTTCTAAAGGATGATAACTATGACATGTCAATTTCATGAAATTAAGGGAGAATTCTTACCTTACTTGATTGATTTATGAAAATTAGCCTAGGCTTCCTTGTTTTCTCCAAGCTTTCCTCTTTTCTCTTTCTAGAAACTCTCTATAGAAGTCTCTTAAGTTTGCCTCTACATTCTCCACTAACTCTCTCTCTTATTCCTTATTTCCTTATTATTCAATTTGATGAGTAGAGTTAAGGATTAATTTATCTCTAATTAATTTTAAACAATGCTGAATTATAGGATTAACTACTTAAATCAAATTCACTCAAATTAAATTAATCATTATCATATTGTGATCTCAATTAAACTAAATTTAATTAAACTAATGTGAATCAGGCTCTAATTGCCTATCCAAATATTTAGTTCTAGCTTGTTAAAATTACTGAATTAGACAGGCTTATTTCGTCTCTATACACATCTGTTCTCAGTAACAATACAATGTAAATCCATACAATGCATGTAGCACATTGCACATAGTTCACAATTAACACATAATCACATTATCAACATTAATCACATAATTAGCTTAATTAATTAAGGAGGCAGTTGTCACATTTCTGTTC